CCTTTATGGACCCCATGACCTGCTCCCAGCGTCATCACCGGTGGCTGTGTAATAGTGTGGCTGCACAGTTCGGGTTCTGTAGCCGATTTGCGCTACCGCTGACCAACTGCGGTAATGTTCGTCTGTGACGCTCTGAAATCGTTATCAGATCTAGTGGCGACCAGGCCCATTGCCTGATTGGATGGCTGTGGATACTGTGAAACGTAACATAGCACTATCACTCTTACATGCTATTCAGACGCATGATGCGTGCTTTTGCCTGTAATTATGGTCATATTTGAGCGTCTGTTAGGGTTCCTAGCGTGTATTTAGCCGTCCAATGAACTGGATCCAGTACAGTGTTTTTCAATCACCAATGATTTTTTTAACGAAACATTTGTTCCCATTTAAAAGTGTGGTTTTAAAATACACCCTCCTAAGATACAATAGATTTCATGCGATCTTGGCTGGATGAGTTTTAAATGCGGTTAACAGGCATGCCACCGCACTGGTACCTCTTCTTTAAATATTAAACCCTAACCTTTTGAATGGATGGATTTCTGGGATCATAGCTCGCGCTGAGCAGTGCTTGCTGTGCGAGCCCTAATCCCTACCATCCCATGCGCAATTCCATGTCAACGGCAGAATTTGGCGGCGGGAAGTTCAACATGCCGCAATGTGTGACACTCCGTCCTGTTCTCCGACGTCATCTGACCTTTCGTGTGGCTACTGCCACCGGCCGTAGGCCATATCTGTCAAGGAGAAATAGCAACCGCCAAAACCGACTCGAACCCAACCCGCCACGGGTAGGTGGATCAGAAGCCAGGTGCTCTAATCAACTGAGCCATTGGGACGGGCCAAGTGGTTGAAGGGTCGGTTAGACACTTGATAATCTTCAACAAGCACTTCAGCACACCCAACTTTGTACCGTACTCACACCTTACAACAAAAATTAAATCATAGGTCTTATCGCAGATCAGGTGTGTCATTTCCTTTTCAATTGAGGAAGGGGAAGACTTTGGTTCACAACTTGAGCACCAGCCCCCCCCCCAATTTAAGAAGAAGCTGGGTGAAATTTGGGGAATAACCCATTTGTAGGAATATTTTGAGGATAGGCTCTGTTGTACTCAGTTCTTATCCCCGCTCCCCAGCTTAACAGGGACATAGTCTTTCAAAACTATGCCTCTGTTGCAGGCACATCATCTTGCATCACGCTAACCTGTGAAGAATGTCAGCAACAGTCTGACAGTCTTAATATTGTTTTTCTCAGCTGAATGCAAGACAAGGAGGTTAGTGATCATTTATACATGGTGTCCGTACTCCAGGCTACAACACCATTTAGTTGATATTTGGGAAGACTCCCTTTGAATTGACAAAATCATTGGTAAGTTGAGCCTATTTGTTAACAGTTAAACCTATTTCTGAGATAAGCTTTAACGAGGACTGCAAATGAAAATTACCTGTGATGTGGTGTGGTTCAAACACTCAGATATCTTAGCTGGATGCTAGCACTCAGTCTTCACACAGCACTCAACCTCACTGTGGAATTAAATACGACAGAGCATTGCCAGAGTCTTGTTTCTCACTTTCAATATCTGCATCACACATGCATCTAGCGTGCCCAAACTCAGTGACGTCAAAAAATGAGGGCCAGAAAACTCAGGGTTGGTGCCCGTGATCCCTTTTGATAAATGATTGGCCAGCAATTCTGACCTTATCATTTAAGATCAATAAAAATATGCACATATGTTCACTCACACATTTACCTCATTTACCTCTCACACAATACTTGGTGCATGCAAACCACCAATGACACTGTCATTTCAAGGTTAAAATGCCCTGTTGAAAGGTCACTATATACTATTATTATTAAAAAATTACAAACGTCAATAATGCGCTAGAACTGAACAAATATCCAGTTTTCCTTGCATCGTTGTTCCCTCTTATGTTGTGTTTGGAAGAAATCATAATGCTCTTGAGCGGCGAGGAGATGAGAAGGGTTTTAGCCACACCCTGGTTGGTTACACGCGTCCGTGTCATGACGCCCACGTGTTGAACTATGGGTTTTGGCTATTTTCCATGGGTTTACACCTTATGTGCCACACCTCTGCACCCAGCACGCGGACTCACACGGGAGTGGCACGCCTTGATAGGAAGCGAACGGGCAAACACCTGCTGCAAATTATGATATCGCACGTGCCAGGTGTCCACGTGCACGAACCTATAATTGAATTGTTCCATTTCGGGCCGGTTTATTCACGTTTTGCGGCATACCTCGGCACCCAGGGCACGAAGCGACTCGAGAGTGTCATGCTTCGATAGGCAATCTAACGGGCAATGACGTGGTTTAGCATGCGACTTCGCACGTGTCACGTGTCACGCGCACACTTACTGTTAAGATGCACTTTGCCGAATGCATCTGTTTTTGCGCCTTACGCCACCATTCCGTCCGCAGGGCGAAGCTACGAGGCAGATCCCGACCCACTGCTGCGGAAATAAGTTCCTGATGAAATAAGGCAGGGTAGAACGTCCTCGTGTTGAGGCCCCGTGATGCTACGCTGCAAAGCATATTAAACTGACCACGGTCTGTGATTTCCGCATACAAAAAGCCATGACACCCGGCGTTGCAGTCTCCGTAGGCCGGGCGTCGTTGGCTTCGTGGTTTACGCTACGTGACGACCAACAGGCGTGCAAGACTTATGTATTTGAAAGAAGTACCGTTCAGAGTTTTATTGAATCAATTTCCTCATATAGAAGGCAGTTCAGGGTGCATTTCACCTCTAAGATTGTTATAGTAAAAAAAGGGCGGATAAGCACTTGCAGCACCGCGAGAGCAAAGGCAGAACCTCTTGATTTCGTGTTGCTCTAACTGTCAATCTCTTGGCAGGTCAGCCTCAAAATTGTAACAGTGACGTATGCGTCACAGTCTAATCTTTGAACGGGGTAAATTTATTTCCCAAAACTTTGGGAACACTGTTTCACGACCGCCGTTCTCGAACGCGCGGCGCCGGTCATCTGGTATTTTCTACAGCGGCCAACGACGTACAGTTTTATAGAAAATGAAGCACGACCATAGCAGTTCTAGCTACGAAGATTGTGAGCAAACAGCCTTGAACCTTTTCACGCAGGCCGTTTCTCTGTCCGATTCTGCATATATATGAATGTTCTTAGGTAGCCATGAGACCGTTTACCTTATTCTGGCAAGGCAAAACTTGGGGCACATTATCTGACTAGAACCGGCGCTGGGGGGCTCTAGGAAATGGATGCTAGAAGGAAAATATCTAGCTAGAGGGGGCACTAGCAGCGTATAGAACACTAGGGGATGCATCATCGTTTGCGGTCAAGAAGGCACCCTTCCGTCCCAGCGTAGAGTGCCTACCGGCTGTCACTCTGGCGACCTGGGGCGGGTCCCTTACTCGATCCAGATCCAGACCCTCAGAGGAATCCATCATATATTGATACCCCAGTCGACGCAGGAGCCTTCAATGACGCAGTACAGTTTTTCATCGCCCCAGTTGATCCAACTTTTTAGTCCACGCAATCACCCACGAATTGATGACCAAGGTGCCTCTTCTGTCAAGCGGCGGCAAACACGGGGAAATGTCGCAACAAAGTGGCAAGGAAGACAGGAAAGATGAAATGAAATGATGATATATGTATAACAAGGATGGTGAAATTAAAGGGCTGCCACCTCCCTTGTTAACACTAGTTAAATGAGTATAATAGTGATGTTATTGAGTAGCAGGGTATAAATGAAAGCAGTTAATGCCAGAAATGACGGCTGACACTTCCTTAAGACTACGGTCAGCGTTGAAGTACCTAAATTTTTCCTTGTTTGCGCGCTAGACAGTCTGCCACCGTAATGCCATAATTGGCGCGCCACCGACAAAACTGGCAGAGAGGCTCCAGTTCAGCTTAACGGGCCCTTGGCTGAAATGGGGGGAGGGGCAGTGGGGTACTGAGGGCCCTGTCTGCCACAGGCCTCTTTCATTGTCTCGTGGACTGAAACTGAGTTTTCATGTCTCCATTCATTGTTATAGGCCCCCAAACAATCCCAAGAGGTTCTCTGGCATTTGGGATTTTGTCCTTATCCCTGCTCAGTAAATAGGTCCCTTAGCCGCATTGGGGCCTATTGTGGGAATGCAACCCTTATTACTTTAGAGGCCCCCGGCCGACCCAGGGGCTCCTCAGCGCCGCAGGGGCTCTGACCAATCTAAATCATGGGCCCCAGCCTCGTCCCTGCTTGGATGCGAGGTCCCAAGGGTTCAGATCGACACGGAGTCGACTGCTTCATGTTGGTGGCCTCTGGCCGAAATAGGGGTCCACATTGTCCCAGGAGTCCGCGCTATCCCTCGCCAACACAGGATCCCGGCTAGACACTGCGTGCCTTGGCCAGCCTGAGGCTGTTATTGGCTCAGGGGCCCTAATCAATGTAAACCGCCGGCCCGGTCATCTTTTTATTTGGTAAAAAGGTCCCCAGGTCCAAACGCCACGGAGCCGACTGTTCAGTACTGATCCTTATTGACCCAGGTTGTCCCTTATAGGTGCAAAGTGCTCTCTGACTGGCATTTGAGGGTCCGGCACTGCGAGCCAAGCCCTTTAATGCGATGTCCGGCCAGCCCTTTGGGGCATCAAAATGCCCTTACTTGCTCGTCCCGAGGGGCCATTCGGACCCTGGGGACTAAGGGGAGGGGGATTGTTCCCCTCTCTACCTGCGCCACTGCCCTGCCAGCAGCGCGCGGGTCTCTGAACAAAAAAAAAAAGAAGACGAACAAAAAACGAATCACCACCCTCGTTCTTATCAAGGAATTATTTGTATCTGCTCATGGGCCCTTTTCTTTCGCTCGCGACTGACCATAGTCGCCTGGAGGTCCAAAGATGTCCAATTTTGTTGCGTGTTGTGCTAAAAAAGCTGCGTCCGTTCTGCAGGTCATGCACACTTTCGGAGCCTATGCGCCCCTTCGGGGCCCAAGGGTGCCAGTGTGCAATGCATCACTCTCGACATTATTTGAAAACAGAAGTTATGACGTGCAAATTTATTGCTCAATGTGTGCACTTGTTATACATGCGAACAGGGTGCAGTTAAGAAGATGCATTAGCAACAGCACGCGGTGCAGTAGAGGAGATACACTAGCAATAGTCCGTCAACGTCCAAGCGTAAGAAACAAGAGGCATCCGTTCGTCGAGCGCGTACCACCTTCTCCCAAGTGCACACAAGCCAGTCCTACATAAGCTAGAAGCACACGATCCGGAAGAGCCTTTCGCACAGAGCTGCAGCTGAGTGGACAGTGAGCTGTCCGCCGGCGCGAGCGTCCTCACGTTCTCGACCGGACTAGCCCTCACTCTGGACCGCGACGGTCAGCAGCCTCTGCAGAACCATCCCCCACTACGCAGTGACCAGGCGCTCAGCAGTAGCCCAGCAGGCGCCCAGCGGCCGCCCAGCAGCTGCCCAGCGGCCGCTCAGCAGCTGCCCGGAATGCAGCGAGACCCCCTGGCGTAGAAGCGCGTGCCGTGCAGACAGCGCTTCATGGTCGGCACGCCGTCCACGCAGTGGTAGTAGTAGTGGCACTTGGAGGACGCGAACTTGCCGTTCGGCTTCGGGCAGAACTGGGCCTCTGCGAACGCGACAGGTTCGCTGTGAGTGCGATGGTCACGCAAAAAACACGTACGTGGGGACTTCAAATGATAGATTTTACGTGGGCAAAGGTTGCCCACGTCATAACCCTGAATTAGGATAACCGTCACACATGCATGGACTAACTGATGATGTTCAAAGATGTGGCATATAAGCAAGCACATCGAGTTCCTAGGGTTTGACACGAAATTATGAATCCTTATCCTTCATTGATGAACTGGTTTGCATTGGAAGCACAACAAAGCACCGCGATCACAACGTACCCAAGAAGCCATCATCGTCCTCGACAGTGCCGTGGTCCGGGTTCCTGTACAGAGGCGAGCTCTTCAGAGCAGGTGCAAACGACTTCACGCGCTCCGCCGACTCCCTGCCGTGGTGCTTCGAGCCACTATCGTGGTGGTGCTTCGAGCCGCTGCCAGGGTGGTGCTTCGAGCCACTACCGTGGTGCTTCGAGTCGCTGCCATGATGCTTCGAATGAGAGCCGCTGCCATGGTGGTGCTTCGAGTCGCTGCCGTGGTGGTGCTTCGAATGGGAGCCGCTGCCATGGTGGTGCTTCGAGCCGGAGTCCGAGTCGCTGCTGTGGTGGTGCTTTGAGCTGGAGTGAGAGTCGCTGCTGTGGTGGTGGTGAGATCCGCTTCCCGACTCGGAGCTAGAGCTGGATGAATGTGGCTTGGGCTTATGCGTCGGCTTGGTCGGCCTGGTTGGCCTGGTTGGCCGTGTCGGCCGGGTCGGCCGGGTCGGCTTGGTCGGCTTGGTCGGCTTGGTCGGCTTGGTCGGCCTGGTTGGCTTGGTCGGCTTCGTTGGCATGCACCCCGGGACGTCTTCAGGGTAGTCGCAGACCTCCAGAGTCGGGTTGTAGACAAGGCCCTTCGGACAGCTCATCGGGTAGGCCTTGCCGTTCTTGCACTGGTAAAATTTGTGGCAGTCTTTGGGATCAGGTACTCTGCGGCAACAGACACGTATGCTTGCCTTTTGAGCTGTTGAGCAGGACAAATATCTGGCATAGTGTGTTTCGTAAACGTGCGTTTGTCCTTAATGGATGAACGATGATATTGAGAGTGCTCACTTATCAATATATATGCAGTTCAGTTCGCAGCCATGAGACTATTCAAAAAACAACCAATGAGCAACAATAATGATACTTAGGGCAATATAACAGCAGGGGGAAAAACAGTTTCTGGCTGTGGCTAGCCCAGACTGCAACAGTTCAAAACGGTGCAATATTTACAGAGCTTCAGATCTGTGGACAAGTATCGTGAACATGCGAGCGGCTGTCAACAGCGGTGGCAGAAAAGTAGCAGAAGCAGAAGAATGCGTGCAGCTGCCATAGCTGCTGCGAGAGACGGCGTAGTATCCTCCACCTCACACCACAGTGGAGCCCCGCAGACAGACCCGGAAAGCCAGCTGCACAAACCAGACGTCACCAAAAGATTCAGTCACTAACCTACTTCGATCGGCCATTGTCAGCATGCAGCATGTCTCGAGCGGGAGAGGCGGGTGCTGATCGGGCGGCGGATGCGTGAAAGGTATGTGCGGTGCTGTGTGCGGATTACACTACAAGGAAGGTGACTACAGACTGGGTGCAGTGTCAGCGGCAACACGTGACGATTGCTGTCTGCCGTGGGGGAAAAACAAGCTACCGAGGTGAGCGCGGCAGCCATCAGTGGCCGTGGTCCGGTGCGGTGTGTCGGGGAGGCGTGGGACGGGTGAGGGGCGGGACGGGGAGGGGGGTTACAGGTGACAACAGCCGGCGGTCTCGGGCGCGTCGCACGCGTTCGTGCCCGTGTTGAAGTGCGTGCCGGCCGGACAGTACTCGATGCTGGCCTTTCCGCCCGAGCAGTGAAAGTAGGTGCCGCAGTTCAGCGGATTGGCGTAGGTACCGTCGCTCTTAGAGCAGGGGAACGTACACGGAGACGGGGGCGGCAGGGTGGTGGGCGCTGCCGTAGTGGTGGTGGTGGTTGGGGTGGGGGTGGTAGGTGGTGGCGGTGTGGCAGTAGTGTGGGCGCCGCATTTCACATTGGCGGGCAGATCGCACACTTCCGTGTCGGGGTTAAAGACCAGGCCGGTCGGACAGCTTTTGTGGTAGGCCTTGCCGTCCCGACACTGATAGAAGCCGCTGCAGTCGTCCTTGTCCGGCAGCCTACGAATGCACACACAAACACGCACAAAGGCGCATAGTTAGGCTAGAAAAGCTGACCTCTGGAGCGCTTAGGACACCGCGGGAAAGACGCTGCAGAAGGATTTCGGGTCATTTCCCGTCAGGATATTAGTGACGGCCACAATTTAGGAACGTTGTTAGTATCTGTCAATGGCTTTTCAATGGCTTTTGTGAATGCACACCTTTCCACAGCAGGGACATAGTTGGAACTCCGGCTGAAGTTTTAGAAACATGCACGAAACTATTTTTGATTTGTCCACCAACACTCTGTGAGTGATGACAGCACACCATTTGTAAACCCCGCTATCACCGCGGCCCACGCCAGCGAGATTGGAAAGTACTTACCACCTTTCCCTCGAAAGACGTACAAATGTTAATTCAACATACCATATCGGTTAACGCGTCACCCATGCCTATGTACACATTCATGCACATCTATATGCATGTGTACCATAGGTATCTGCATCCATTTACACGATCAGGTGACCCTCGCGGCACACAATAGTTCGACATTTTGCAGATACATAAGTTGGGGTCCCGACCCGTACCCTTTAGCATTCAGCATTTGTGGTTGAATGCGGATGCTACCAACACTTTGAGATAGACAATTTTGCCTACGCGACGTGCAAGAAGTTGAGATGAACTTAGTAAACAGTGCATCACTGGAAAAATGCGGGGAAAGCAAGGAACTCCTGCTGTCTAGTACAATCAGAGGACACGACATGAAACTGATGACATGCAACCATGAACACTCATCATGCAATACACATCTAAAACCCAATGCATTTCCCCATAAGAGTGGAGCAGTAAGGCAAGACCATCGCAGACAAAGCTGCTGGTCATTGTCTGACCCAAACTGAGTGTATACGGACAACAAGGGTGTCTTTTATGAAGAAAACTTTGTTTGCGTAAGTTAGCCATCCACTTCACTCTTGCATAAAATGACTGGCAGCCATCTTTCCGATTGTCACTGCTGACAAATCCTGAAGAATCGTTTCAACGTTCTACCCACGTCTGTGTATACTTAACCTGCCAACAACAGCAATGGACCGGATTTCATTCTATTAAAAGCAGGCAGTAAGGACGGCTGAAATACTGGTCAACGGAAATATGAAGTGCTTTTTTAGAAACGAGTTGATGTCGCCACAAAATTGCGGCGGCGGCCTGCGTGTGCCACCGGCACAAAATCGTATCAGCGTATACAAAGGAATACTTTCCTGACCAGCGAATCAAGCGTCTTAGAACCTTAATATTTAGGCCTTTACTTCCCGCAAAAACGGGCATGCGTTACAGCAGCATTGTTCTTGCTACCAGCACAAGGCCAAAGCCAACACTCCAAAGCCTACTCTGTTCAAGGACAGGACGGTGGGGATGGCTGCCAGCCAAGAGGCTCTACATCCCAGCCACACAAAAACAAACGCACTTCTACAGGTACATCGGCATGCAATTCTTAGCCTATAACCAAGCTCGTGATCCAGGTCATCACAGAATGTGCCTAAACTAGTCGGCTGTCGCGTCTGGCAGGCGAAATCCGCTTTGACACATAACCCTCCAATGGCAAGACACGGAGTGCTCAACGGAGGAGTGTCCTCGCCTCCATGACATTACTGAAAGAAGAAACCGAAAGTGAGCTTAGTTTAAAGCTCGGAATTTTGCCGCCTGGTTTTACCTGCTAAATTGTGCGTGAAAGAGAAATGGACCCTCGTTTCTGTACGTTCCAGAGATCTGGAGCACGGAACAGCAGTCAGGCAGCAGTCGACGGTCCCACATGACCTTTGACGAGCGTCGTGTGTCTATATATATATATATATATATATATATATATATATATATATATATATACATATATATATATATATATATATATATGTATATATATATATATACATATATATATATATATATATATATCGACCGATAAATCGAAATAGACCTTGACATGACATGACCACATCTGAGATCTGCTCGGCGCCTGCCAGACGGAACAGCCGAGGCTCAGGCGCCCCTTCCCCGCGGCCGAGGCCGAGCGGCCCGCGCGCTCTCACCTGCACGCGCAGCTCTTGTTCGGGCAGACGATGTCGTCGTCGGGCACCGGCGTGGTGACCGGGTAGTCGGGCGTGGGCTGCGGGTGGCCGCCGCAGCCAGCGTGATTGGGCCAGTCGCACACCAAGAGCACCGGGTTGAACTCAAGGTTAGCGGGACAGTCCTTCAGGTAAGGGTACCCGTTCGAGCAGTGGTAGAACGAATGACAGTCCTTCGGGTTGGGGAACAGCCCGTTGCTGGTGGGGCAGTCGAAGTCCTTCTTGGTGGTGGTGACAACCGGCCTCGTGGTGGGGGACACTGCGGGCGTAGTGGGTGTGGTCTTATTCGAGCAGCCGGCATGCTCTGGCCAATCGCAGACGAGGAGGACCGGGTTGAATTCGAGGTTGGCCGGACAGTCCATTAGGTAGGGGATTCCGTTCGAACACTGGTAGAACGTATGGCAGTCTTTCGGGTTGGGGAACAGCCCGCTGCTGGTGCTGGTGGGGCAGTCGAAGTCCGGCCGTTTGGGAGTGGTAGCGGGCGTGCGGGGTGTGGTGGGGGACACTGCGGGCGTAGTGGGTGTGGTCTTATTCGAGCAGCCGGCATGCTCTGGCCAATCGCAGACGAGGAGGACCGGGTTGAATTCGAGGTTGGCCGGACAGTCCATTAGGTAGGGGATTCCGTTCGAACACTGGAAGAACGTATGGCAGTCTTTCGGGTTGGGGAAGAGCCCGTCTGCGGTGGGGCAGTCGAAGTCCGGCCGTTTGGTTGTAGTGGTGGAG